CCCCCCCCCCCCCCCATCCACCCCTCTTCCTTCACGGAATCGCATCGCGCGGGATAACGAGCGAGTGTCCCGGGTCATTACGATTATCCATAACGAGCAGCGATATAGATCGCCGGAGGCTTACGTCCATGAGAAAAGTGATGGTGGCGTTGCTTAAAACGCGCAGCATAGGTGTGGCGTGGGCGTAGAAGAGGGACATGCGATTCGCCAGCTCGTTGCCGACGACGAGGTCGCGCTCGGTGGCGTTGTCCTGGCGGGTGAGGCTGGCCCTCGTGAGCGTGCGACGATAGTAGCTGAAGTCGTTCTGGATCGCGGGCGTCTTCATCTTGAACTCGTCGAATTTCAGCACGAACTCGAGGATCTCGGCGAGCTGCTTGACCAGGGCCTGCTGCGTCTCCAGGTGCTGGGTAGGCGACAGGTGACCCGAGCACAGCTGGCCAAGAATCTTCGGAACCACCCGCTCTGGAATTCAGACGGGCAAATGGAATTAGCTGGATGGGGAGATTGACTGGGAGATCAGAGGTAACGTGTTTTGTGGCTCTGTGAGGCCGCCGGCGCCTCGGATGCTACAGGAGGGAAATGACAGGGGAGGAGAGTTTGGCAAAGCTAATTGGAGGCATAGCGGCGATTCCTCTTCTCTCTCGCGGATTCGTGCCGATTGGAATTACATCATTTTGAGAATAATTAGGAAGCTCGCCCGGGGCCTGTCACGCGGAATTTGACCTGCGGTCCAAGGCCACTAACGTTAATTTAGTAGACTCGGCCGGAAAAGTCAGCGGTTCTTTTCTTTGGTTTTTTTGCTTTGAGGCAGGTTCGTTGTACGCTGGCACCACAAGTACGTTATAAATACGGGCGTCATTGATTTTAGTTAAACGCGAGCTTTTTCATGAAAATATATTAGAGACTTGGGTGAAGGCTAATAATAATAATGAAGCATTCGGATAGTAATAGAATTAGAAATTGACTTAGACGCGAAGGACGTCAAAGTCGGACCTCGCAGCGGTTTCGATAATGCAAAACTGATCGAGACGCCGCAGACTTATTTCGTTAAAGATAAAACCGGCGGCGATATTACGGGAAATTCGGCGCTCGCGCGCAACGTGTAATTGATTTAAAAGTGTATTGATTTTTAGACTCACCAAGTTCTAAGGAAAACTCGTAGAATCGCTTGAGTTTGGCGACCAATGGAGCGACCGTGAGATAAGCTTTTCTCTGGCATTCCTCCGTAGGTGCGGATATCGCCTCGCGTATCTCCTTTCCTGCTCCCTTGTAGCACTGAATCTCCTGCAGTATGGATTCGGAGTTCTTTAAAACCCTCTGTACAGCCTCGAAGGTCTCGCGTTCGATGTCCGATGGCTGTGCATCTGGAGAACAAAAGATCGTCATTCTTTACGATTTATTGCGAACGTGGCTTTTATTCATTTCCAGTATCATTCGCGGAGATGGTCGTCGTACAGTTCGATTATTCGAAATCGATATCGAGTGAAATTAAGGACACAATGTCCGATACTACTATTACAATGTTAATTAGCTCAAACGGCGTGTAGTCAGCCTTAAAAGCTCGCTCGGATAAGCTTGGCTACTACTACGTTCTACAAACATGCTTTGTCTCGACTTCTTTGCAACATTATTGAGAAACAATGGACATTTTTTGTCACACGGTAATAGCGAGGTGCTTAATAAAAATATGGATCGTGTGATACAATTAATTCGCTGAGACGTTGTTACTTACTTTCAAAATCGAGGAAGACATCGTACTTTTGAGGAGTACAGCAGGTCGACTCGTCTCGAGCCAAGAGACTCAGAAGCTTCCCCATCGCGTCTAATAATTTCTTTTCCCCCGGGACTTCAAGGCCGTCAAAATTCAGTCATCATCTGAAAGCAATACGTGGGATAAGGAATTATTAAGGTTACGACTCGAAAACTTTGCGTCCTTCTTCGCCTAAGCAATTCTTTCGACAAAAGACTTGACCCTTGGCTGCTCGCTACTCTACAGCATTGGGCCACGTGCGTGCCTCTCCCCACCCCCTCTAAATCACAACTTATCATCCCCCACCACCACCGCCATCTCTTCGCCATTCCACTTTAAAATGTGAAATGATAATAATAAATTTCAAGGGACGGAACGTTACGATCGACACTCGGCTCGAAAGTGAAAATTGTATTCGGAGAGCATTTCAACCACTCTCCTTCAACTTCGTCACTGCGTAAAAATGTTTAAAATAGCATTATTACCTATGACGCTCGACAAACCATTCCCCCATTTACCGACGACTCTCGGATTATGCTCTTAACGGGACAACCTTCGTCCGCACTTGCGCACACTCTACCAAATCCAGGTATTAACCAGGATATAAGAAAACCGTCCAGCGCCAATAGCCCGATTTACGCTAGCGGTCAAGAAACTTTTTCGTGAAATAGCCTCACCGAGAGACGAAGGCTCGACACGATCGTAATGGAAGAACGGTACGGTCAATCGACAAAGCAAATCGAATGACAATCCAATAAAAGTCGACAATGCCAATCCTCGAATAAACGTATTGACGCCTTTTCGTGCAAGGACCTACCTGCATAATCGACCGATCCTCTCGTTAATCCGTCATTTCTCGACTCTTGCTCTCCAAGAATCTCATCCCTAATCACGGAACACTCGTTAAGATTGACAAGTGCGTACGTGAGAGCGTATCGAGAATATTCCTTAGCACCGTGGAGATTGACACCTCGTAACGCAAAAAAAAAAATCGTTAAACTTACTAATGATAGTGAATCAGCCCTCTAAGCATAGACTGTATACTCTAAGAAATGCGTAAGCCACAATATAGCGTACAGGCCTTTCGATTCGCCTTCGGACTGTAGTGCACAAGCGTTAATGCAATATTATAAAGAAAAAATTGCAAATCATCATAAGAGCGGATTATGAATAGATTCCCAGTGTTTCTGACGATTTACCGCGCAAGGAGAGTCGCTCGAAGGCTACTAAACGAAAACAAAGTCTTCCCCTAACGATTTAAGCCAAATAATTACAATACTCCATAAAGTCTCGCCCAGTGAATCCCGGCAGCAACGTCCTATCGCATCCGATTAAGACAATTGCCTTTCTAGATAATGCAGACTTAAGTCGAGCGGGAAAAGGGAAAAAGGAGGAGGAGGGGAGGGGAAATGAAAGGGAGCAGAATTGCAGAGTCTGGCGAGCTCGTAATTAAAAGTATCCGATAAACACACGCGAGGAGGCCTAATCGCGTACAGGCATTCATAAACAGGCACGAGAGTAACTACAATTCGTACATTCATACATCGCGTGCGAAGTCTCGAGGTCGGCTCGAAGCGCAATCACATTACACGTGCGCACGCCCAGACTATATATACGCACGTACGAGTGCGCGACGAAACCGGGCAATGAATGGGTTCCGTGAACCGGCAACGTTAATGTTGCTGGCGAGTAACGCAAAAGAAGAGAGAAACAAGATCAGACGGTCCCCGTATATGTGTACCCGAGACATTACGCGACTCGCATTAATTAAGTGATAAAACAAACAAAGAAGAAAATGAAGAAAAAATAAAAAATCCACGTCGACTATATCGTAATTATAACTGTTGTTTCTCGTGTCTCACGAGATCCCTCCTAATTTTGTACGAATACCAACCCAATGGATGAAAGGCCTCCTGGGTCTTTTACACATCTAATTTAACGAAGGACAAGATAATAAGCAACGGATGCTATTGCTATTGCTGCTGCTGCTGCTGTTGCTGGTACTGGAAAATATTTGAAACATAATAGCCAAGGACTCGGCGAGTTTCAAGCAGAATGTTTGAAGAAAGAAAATCAATGTTCTCGAGGGTCTGTCTCGAAGATAAACCTCGACAAAAAATAAAAATTGATAAAAGCTGGATCGCGGCCAAACTGTTTGACCGTTCGAAAAAGCTGTACCTTTTCATAGATTTTCCCGAGTCCCCCAAATATCCATTATACTATTTATTATGCACATAATTTATTGTAAACATAATTTTTAATGATAATGTGAGCATTGCTTTTCTCTTTTTAAACAAATGCGACGGCCAAAAAAAAATTTTTAGCTGACGTTGAAACATTGTTGGCATCATTAATCTCGTTTTGCGTATTATCGAATGCATTTGATATTGAGAAATAAGGTTATAATTATTTGTAAACTTGAAAAGGTTTTCGATACTCAATTCCCTCCCTCTCACCCACTCCAAGTTTACAAATGTCCTCGCATCACCAATAAATTACGTGGAATTTTCACACGCAATGCGTGCGGTCTTCCAATGGCCATCGCTGCCTAAAGGATTTTATCCGCTGCAAAATGCAAGCATATAAGCGCCTGTCGAGCGAAAGGCCAAATATGCAGATAAATAGCGCGGCATCAGCGACATCAGCTTACCTGTAATACGAAAGGGTCGTCGCTATTATGAATGAGAAAAAAAGTGAATACGACAGCAGTGGTGTTCGTATGAATAGTCGAAAAGCCACTGCCGTTGAATAACGCTAATTAAAAACTAATAAGTCGAGCAGACATTCGCATAATTTGTTCGCATATACCAAATTTCACGCAATTCATGCGGACGAATGAAGGTAAGAGGAAATCAATGTTCCATTTAACAAGAATTGTATTAAAACAACATTGTACAATTGCCGTATTACCGTGAATTATAATTCCCTTATTGTAACGATTCATTAGCTTTTTACTTTTTACGATAGTTGCACAATGCTGGCACTCGTAAATGTAATATACAAACGAAGGCGGAAGTTTACTCGGGGACGAGTGTGACGGAGTCTCATTTCGATTGACAATCGATCTAATAATTCCACGATTATACTGCATTCTCACACTAATCGCGCACTCGCAAATAATAAAATTAACATTATAGGAGAGCGTTACGAAAGCCAAAGGGTCTTGGTGCATAAGAGTAAAGGAGAGTGGAACAAATGCTTACTTGGCTGGAGATGAGAAAGCGTCCTATCGGTCGATTAAATCTCGGACTACGAGTTTTCCAAGTAAAAGGCACCTCTCGTTCATCACAATTTACCAAACCCCTCGTTCCCTCGCGAATAAAACCCGGGGGGTTAAAATCCTCAACTACCGACACACGCCGACCATCAATGTCGGTCCGCACCAGTGGAGCGTATTGACTCGTGCCGATGCCAGGTGTCCCCAACAGAGCAGCTCGCCGTCAGCAAAGTTATTGCCTGGGAAAATTGCGCCAGACGCCGCTCGTCCGCGTCTTAGCCCACTGGTTTTTGTCACCAGCGAGTCGACGCCACCGAGAAAGCCAAGAATGGACGGACGGAACGAGTGAGAGAGCCCAAATGAGAGAGAGACAGAGAGAGAGAGAGCCCAAATGAGAGAGAGACAGAGAGAGAGCCCAAATGAGAGAGAGAGAGAGAGAGAGATTAATAGAGAGAGAGAGACAGAGAGAGAGAGCCCAAATGAGAGAGAGACAGAGAGAGAGAGCCCAAATGAGAGAGAGACAGAGAGAGAGAGCCCAAATGAGAGAGAGACAGAGAGAGAGAGCCCAAATGAGAGAGAGACAGAGAGAGAGAGCCCAAATGAGAGAGAGACAGAGAGAGAGAGCCCAAATGAGAGAGAGACAGAGAGAGAGAGCCCAAATGAGAGAGAGACAGAGAGAGAGAGCCCAAATGAGAGAGAGACAGAGAGAGAGAGCCCAAATGAGAGAGAGACAGAGAGAGAGAGCCCAAATGAGAGAGAGACAGAGAGAGAGAGCCCAAATGAGAGAGAGACAGAGAGAGAGAGCCCAAATGAGAGAGAGACAGAGAGAGAGAGCCCAAATGAGAGAGAGACAGAGAGAGAGAGCCCAAATGAGAGAGAGACAGAGAGAGAGCCCAAATGAGAGAGAGACAGAGAGAGAGCCCAAATGAGAGAGAGACAGAGAGAGAGCCCAAATGAGAGAGAGACAGAGAGAGAGCCCAAATGAGAGAGAGACAGAGAGAGAGCCCAAATGAGAGAGAGACAGAGAGAGAGCCCAAATGAGAGAGAGACAGAGAGAGAGCCCAAATGAGAGAGAGACAGAGAGAGAGCCCAAATGAGAGAGAGACAGAGAGAGAGCCCAAATGAGAGAGAGACAGAGAGAGAGCCCAAATGAGAGAGAGAGAGAGAGAGAGATTAATAGAGTGAGTATGAAAGAGAATGAAAGAGACAGAGAGAGAGAGAGAGAGAGAGAGAGAGAGAGAGAATGTAAACACGCAAACGCGTACGAACCTTCCTCGACGCTCAGTGCTCAGGAACGTCCGCAGAACTCGGCAAGGCGACCCCGTGTCCACACCAACGCGCCCGGGGGTGACAGACTGCGCGTCGTGTGCGAGCTCAGCTTTCTCCCGGCTGGCGCGCACATGCGGACGCCTTCCTTATTTGGTCGGAGCGCGCCGAGCCTCCCCCCCCCCCTCCCATAAACCACGGGC